TCCACAGACTCTCTCTCTCTCTCTCTCTCTCTCTCTCTCTCTCTCTCTCTCTCTCTCTCCCTCTCTCTCTCTCTCTGACACACACACACACAAACGTGTTCAAAACGAATGAGATGTCTACAAGCTACAAGCCGCTACTAAATCGATCAATGTAATGGCCTTGATCCCCCGGGGTAGAGCGAGAGAGAAATAGTATGATGAGTGGAGGATAAAATAACTCTACCCGACCTAGGCCAGCTCCAAGATTTTTGCCCCAAGGACCTTCGAATATTTCTAACCTCCTTGACCGTTGACCTACCCGACCATCCACCCGATCTTCCCTTACATGTACACGGGTGGTCAGACAAGCCAGAGATCATCGACCACTCATCGGCCATACAGCGGCCTCTCCGTTGCGGTGAGATCAGCTCATCCCCCTGTAACCACTAGCCACACACAGCAGCTTCTGCCCGGGGCCGGAGATGTGGCACGAGCTCAAACCGCAAACCGCAAGGAAAGAAATCCGGATTGGACGGTCCTCGGATGTTGTTGCAGCAGTCGCCCCGGGTGCCGGGAGCCCAGTTAAGTAGCGGCAGCAGCAGGTAGGTTCGTGTTTTAGTACCCCACGACTGACTGGCTGTATCTTGTTACTTCGAAGATTCTACTCCCTCCACCTCCACCCCAACCCCCCTTACCACCTTCCCTAATCCCCATGTTTTGTGAGACTATGTAGGCCTATTATAAAATATATACTGTACATGTTCTTGAATTCATAACACTCTAGACTAAGCACTGTCAATCAAAGCCGCCAATCTTTATTTTCAGTTTTAGAAAACTTGTTGCACGAAGGGCAAGATATTAACATGTTCTTATGCACAGTAGAATTGGTAGTAAATGGGCTGATTTATCAATCTCATGCTCATACTGTGCTAGAACAACATATGGGGAACTGCTGCTTTTTCTTTCCTCATTCTTACCATCGTCATTTCCCTCTACTTCTTTTGTATGCTTGTCACTCTCTTGTGAACTACTATTTCCGGGATGCCTTGATAGTCGAAGCAGACTTTGTGTTGTTGAGGCTAGAGAGGTGAGCAGAGTAGAAATCTAGGCCTCAGCCAGATTCCCCGTTTGGACTTCTCTGTTGACATCCACCCCTTGGCGCTCATATGACCTTACGCAGTTATGAGCGCCGCAAAACCTTACTTAAACAAACAAGACTCACTGCAGACGACGTTCGTGCAATTTTTCCCTACTGGCCCTTCATTTGATTCCAAAGAGAGTCGACTCAAAATTTAATGGTGTGCTCTATCTATAATAAAGCACCCGAATTACGTCAGGAATGTCCAGTCGTGGAGTAATATTTATAAATCTATGGGGCTGTCCCTGAGGCGATAGTGGTATTCCTGAAGTATTTTACACTTTAACATTTAGCACCGGAGGTTCTCTGGTAGCAGTATCATGTTACTACCCAAGCCTCCACTTGTATGGTCATTGGTCAGGGACTTACGACTCTCGGTGTGTGTGGTGCAAAGAGTAAAGAGGTTACACGTATAACAGTAGGCTACAATAACTATGTAAGCACTTTGGTTAGCGTGGTGGTGTGGTGAGTGGAGCCGAGGGAACATAATCTGATGAGTGGGGCCTGTGGACCAACGAGGAAACCGCAGAGATAATTATATATATAATAATATTATATATATATATATATATATATATATATATATATATATATATATATATATATATATATATATATATAGAGAGAGAGAGAGAGAGAGAGAGAGAGCAGAGAGAGGGAGAGAGAGAGCAGAGAGAGAGAGAGAGAGAGAGAGAGAGAGAGAGATAGTAGTATACATGACACCATGTAGTCGTGTGAACCGTTCTGTTGTAGCTGGAGAGGGGTCGGACTGTACTGCTTGTGAATGTAATGATATAGATAATTATGGAGATAGTAGTATATAGTATATATTTAGTCTAGTCGTGTGAACCGTTCAGTTTTTACTGTAGCTGGAGAGGGCCGGCCGACTGTACTGCTTGAAATATTGATAATTGTTATAGAGATAGGAGTATAGTCAAAGATTCTCTACTACATACACGATCTTTGGTGTATTTGTGTGAAACTTTTTGTAGTTGCTGGAGAGGGGGCAGACTGCACTACTTGTAATATAGATAATTATAGAGATAGGAGTATAGCAAGGAGTTTAGAACTTTTAATCTCCTTGGAGTATAGATTATATCTTTGGTGAAGTCGTGTGAACCTTTTTGTTGTAGCTGGGGAAGGGGCAGACGGTATTGCCACTGTGATTTGTTGGAACTGTCGGACTCAATAAAAAAACAAAAAACAACCCAGTGGCGGTGGGTGGACCAAGATTTGGGTGGGGTTTAGGTTTTTTCCACTTCTTTACCACCAAAAAGCAAGCAATAAGAACAAAACAGTGATAATTTTTCTATACTCACGGCGAGCCACGGCGTTTTGAGAACCATTCAAACGAGAGAAGAGTCACCTTTGTCTTCCAACTCTTTGTTCTTAGTCAAATTTAAGTTCTTCTGAATGGTGGGGACGAAGATGTTTCACCTCCAAATTTCTCTAATTAGCTTTTATCTGAAGAAAAAGTTGCCTCAAAAGTGGTTTGATGTAATTAATAGCTGTTAAATCTCAGCGGCACAAACACACAGCACTCCAAACACATACCGTCTATGAGGTGGATTGGGTCGTGTTGTTGCGAAAAATAGAACGCGCCTAACAAAGGCCCAATGGGCATATAGGTATCTGTGTCACTGGGGGAAAGTGTGTCGTAAACTTTTACCCCATTGTCAGGGCTGGGAGAGCGTGAGCCCGCGGTGCAGTGTTATTTTTAAAAAGTCTTCTTCCTTTTTACAAGAAGAGTTTCTTTAAAGACGGGCGTGGGAACCGGCTTATTCTTTCTGAGCCCTATATACACGACATTTGATTGGCTGTTAGGTTACTATAGTTGTAAGCGGTGACAACAATGATTGGATAAACGGGCAAGCCGCAAGCTGATAACTGTGTGTTCACTGTGTGCGATCACAACGGTTTCAACTGTTTATTTCGTTATTTAAGAAACTTTCATGAACTAAGGGATAGAGTTGGGGTGGGGACTGGGTGGGGGTGAGGGGCTCAAGCCCGTAAGCACTTCACTACCCACCGCCACTGAAACCCCCCAGCATTTTTCGGGATAGAGCTAGCCCCCTTGTGGCTAAAAGCGACCATTTATGCCTGTACACCGTCATCTGTCAACTGTCTTAGTTGGACGGTCCTTATTATAGGCCCTACTAAGGTAAATTTGTCCCGACATACCGCCAGCGAACTAACCGCCAGAGGTATACACTATCTGTCACGCCCGTGGTTTTAAGCACCCCGCATAATTTAGTAAAATTTGATTTTTTTGGGCATAATTTTTAAAATTATTTTCCTTTATCATTCTTTGTTAAAATTAACAGAATCGCATAATTTCACTTTTTTGGGGGCTCAGTTTGCATCATTTCAGAATTTTTTTTTGCATAAAACCGCGGGGACAGCACTATATATAGCGCACAGCCTTTCTCACAACCATATCTGCGAGTTCGGCCGGTTTCTTTCATTTTTCGCCGATGCTCCCGAGTTGCACTGATATGAGAATGCTATTCTTTTTAGGTAAACTTGAGCTTTATAGTTTATAGTTTTAGTAAGGTTTTTACAGCGCTCGCAACTGCATAAGGTTATATTACGAGCGTCAAGAAGTGGACGTCAACAGAGAAGTCCAAACAGGGAATCAGACTTATTCTGTTCACCTCTCTAGCCTCAACAGCACAAAGACTGTTTCAGCTATCAAGGCACCCAGGAAATAGTAGGCCTACAATGTAGTTCACAAGAGAGAGACAAACATATAAAAGATGTTGATCTAGAGGAAAATTACGATAGTAGTAAGGATGAGGACAGAAAAAGCAGCAGTTCCCCCTGTGTTGTTCCAGCACAGTATGAGCATGGCATAGATAAATCAGCCCATTTACAATTCTACTGTGCATAAGATAAGAACACATTAACATCCCCCCTTTGGGAATGGCCTTAAGACACTTCAGTCAGTAGCACTACCCTGGGGGGAGGGGGGGGTGGGTGGTGAGAGAACTTGAGCTTTGAACACACCAGGCAGACCAAGTCTGTAACCAACTGAGCTACCCTGGCCTTTGCAAAAGAATAACCAACAAGGACATCGGTATCAATCAATAGCAAGATTTATTTCTTCAATATCAATCAAGCAAACAGATGCTCTTTTCCATCAAAGCAGAAGAGTGTAAGCAAAAGAATTTTCTTCTTTAAAAAATCTTTTTAAAAATTTAAAAAAATGACTTTAATTCTGAATCCAAACATTCCTATTTTGTGTAATTCCTAAAACAATCAGTCCTGCCTCCTGTACTAGTCAAGGCACCGATGGCAGACACAGTCCTAGCTCACAACATAATCCAAACTACAGAGACTGTGACAAGTAGATTGTCCTAACTCTCAAACTAAATCAATCTATATTATATATATATATATATAAAATTATATTAACTACAAATAAACCCAACTATATATGTGTATATTGTATATAAACAGTTAACTAACAATATAAACCAAACTATATGTTATCTATTCACAAACTAAACTTACTTCAAAGATAGTTTTTTCACAATATAAAACAAACCACACAAAAATAAACCAAAGCGGCAGACAAGAAACAAGTCCCAACTAAAGATAGAAAAGAAAGTACAAAAATTGTGACGCAAAAACTACGATTGTCCACACAGTGTAAATACATGCAGTACATGCAGACTTTATACTTTATACATGGAATGTGCTTTGTCCCAACTGCTTCATACTGGAAAACAAATAAATACATGTATATTCTTTTCTTAAAACACCAGTATGTAATGAGGCACACTTTCTGTTCATGATCATTACAGATTTCCCAGAAAACTGGATGCAAATCGCAGAGAAGTAAAGTGAGTGAACGGGCGACATGCAAGTTAATGTAGATTTCTGAGTATTGTTGAAGGGAAAGTTAAGGGGAAGCAAGACACAACAGCACAGCACAGCACACAACAGCACAACACAGCACACAGGTAGCCTACATGTTGTCTCATTCAGCTGGCTTCATTTAGCATCAAATTTTTTGATAGAATTAGAATGTCCTGTTAGTGTAAAATTAATTATGGTCATTTCCAGGGCTCTGTGAATCATCAAAATAATATCAGGCCATTATCAGGGTTCGATTAATCATCAAAATAATATCAAGTCATTAGTAAGGTTTGATTGATCATCAAAATAATATCAACATTGTAACATAATTTTTGTAAAGCGCATAGAGCATAATGTAGAGCATGAGTTAGCGCTAAATAAATGCAATTATTATATACATTTATTATTATTATTATATTTATATCTTTCGCAAAACTCAAATGTCAGAACTGAGTAGAAAAGCTTTATAAGATTATGCCATCATCTGTCATGTCACAAAAACCTCCCCACTTTGTTGCGTCGAGTGGCATTCCTTACAAAACAAAACAGGGGAACAAAAACAATCTGTCAACACATGAGAAAAGAAACGTGTCATGTTTCGTCTTTGCTCAGAGCTTTCCCCCACCAACACCCCCCCCCCCCCATGTCAGTTCCTTCCCCATGTGCAGATCCATCCATGAGATAGTCAAACAGATTTTAGTCAGCCTGGTCAGAAAACATGCTGGGGAATTTCTCAGTTTTTGTTTTAGAAAGAGTTAGAGTTTAACAGCGCTTGGATCACAAATAGGTCATTTCAGTGCCAAAGATTAGAGGTGATATTAGAGAGTAACAATTTAAAACAAAAAAGGAGGAGAGATAGGGACTATAGATCTTTGATAGAAAAGAAGGAACAAACTACACTGAAGCACCCACCAACCACCCACAGGGAAGGTTCCGTAGACTGGGAGTCTTTAATCAAAGAAAAAGTTCAAACGTCTACGCAACCAGACCACGACTAGAACACCAACAACCGTCATCAAGTCTCTTGTCTGGAGCAGACATTGGCGTTTATGGTTTACCATTCGGGGCCATCCCTCTCTTCCATTTGAGGCATTTAATGACTGGGTTCTTGTTCATTGTGTAGTTAGATGTCCAGATCTATGTTCTGGCTAATTTATTAAAAATTTTTTTTTTATAGTAGAGGGTTTTACGGCGCTCGCAACAGCATAAGGTCATATGAGTGCCAAGGGGTGGGTGTCAACAGAGAAGTCGTTACAGGAAATCAGACTTAGACTGCTCACCTCTCTCGCTTCAACAGCACAAGGTCTGCTTCGACTATCAAGGCACCCCAAAAAAGCAGGTCACAAGAGAGTGACAAACATACAAAAGGCTAATTAATTAATCTTGTGCGTTGATGTACTCATCAAAAGGAACGCAAAATAAACAACATTCCAATAACATTATAAGCAGCCATAGAAATACATAAAACAGATGTTGTGCAGAGTAAATTTGCATTGGAAGATCTATCAAATGTACAGATAATATTTTTAAAAACTGCCACGAGTAGAATATTGTAAAAAGAAAATAAATAGTGTCAAAAACGTTGTTGCGAGTAGAATATTGCAAAAAGAAAACAAATTGTGTCAAAAACGTTGTTGCGAGTAGAATATTACAAAAAGAAAACAAATTGTGTCAAAAATGTTGTTATGAGTACAATATTGCAAAAAGAAAACAAATCATGTCTAAAAACATTGACTCTAGAGACGGCAGACTTTGCTGAAATGTCTACAGTCATCACACAAACTCAAAAACAGACTATTGAACACACTTGGGAAATCAGGGGCACATCATAAGGGCATTACTATTTTCCAAACCTATTCCCCCCCTCCTCCTCCAACCACACATCCCAACTCTTGAGAATACTCCCCCCCCCTCCCACCCCCCCAGAAAATTGCACATACTTGTAACAGGCCTACATCACAGGAGACTAACTGTTCTCCAACCTTCCCTTTTTGTGGACTACAAGATAATGCGAATGATTCCCAATAGAAAAACAGAAGATTTCAAGCTCAAAGATATATGAAAAGATGAATCAGAAGAAAGCAAAATTAAAAGATTTCAGACCATGCGTTACACTCTAAAACATAAACATAAAGTAAGCTTTTTTAACAGGGCAATTAGCTCTTTGAAATAGAACACATAAAGGTAGACAGAGTATGGCACAATAAACTACAGAGTCAGCATAGTACTTCCAAAGATCAGTAAAGAGATTTTTATAAAAAGATATAAATGCACAGTATCATTACTTGAAGCAATTAAACAAAAAGTAGAGATTGATAAGTAAAATCTCAAAACAAGCAACACAATTTTCTTTGCACCCAAGTCATCATTAAACCGGAAAGAATGGCCCAGTAGTCAGATTTCTCCAGTCACAGAGAACTAACACTCAGCAAACACAGTAAAACTTTCTTTTTTCTTCGCAATCACGTCACACTTGAAGTCTGGTTTCTCTCACGTATATAGAGCAAAATCTGATTATATAAACTTCACAAGAACAGAGAATTTTTTGTGCTAAGCAGATTTCAGGTTAAATTAAGAGAAGTAATAAGGGTATTTGAAACCCTTTCGTGTAAGCAGGAATTCTGTGTTAAACAAAGTCTACTCTGACCATAAAAACATAACATTACTTCAGTAGCCAGGCCAAAAGACACTAACTAACCATGAAGCAAAAAGTAAGACCCTTTTTCATAACAACAAATATGACAAAGTGTATCAGCTGCTTTGAATCTGATGCCCAGTCAAAATTAAAAATTTCATAAAAAATACAACAAATATTATAACATCAATTATAATAATAGACCTAACATCAATAACAATAACAGACCTAATATTAAAAGTAAAACCAGCAACAACATCAACAATAATACTGCTTCTTCTCATCTCAACAATACGGTTTTGAGTGATTGTCTTTTTCCTCTAAGAAAATATCCTCACTGATTATAAACTCACAGCACACAAAGATGTCGCACAAATACACCCCTGCAGTGAGCACAGGGATGACCTCTTGACCTCTCAACACCAGCCTGGCTGCCACCAGAGGTCAAAGTTGTTGGGGTCAGCTTTGGGGTCGTTGGGTGGGTAGTTAGCCGGCACCATCATTGTGTAGTAGTGGGACATCCGCGCCTTGAGCTTTTCTACAACCTCTGGGAGTTTGTCGTACAAGTTGTTGTGTTCGTACGGGTCATCTGTAAAATACATACACACAACATATTGAGGTTATTGAGTATCTTACACATTGTTGTGTTCATATATAGGTCATCTATGTAATACACATACACAACACATTGTGGTTAGAGGGCATCTTACAACAAATTGTTGTGTTCATATATAGGTCATCTGTGTAATACATACGTCACGTACAACATATTGTGGTTAGGGGGTATCTTACACGATGTTGTGTTCATATATAGGTCATCTGTGTAATACACACACAACACATAGTGGTTAGAGGGTATCTTACAACAAACTGTTGTGTTCATAAGTATATATATATAGGTCATCTGTGTAATACGTGCGTACAGCATAATATTGTGGTATGGGAGTATCGTACAACAAATTGTTGTGTTCATATATAGGTCATCTGTGTAATACATACACACACACACAAACAACACATATTGTGGTTAGAGTACAACAAGTTGTTGTGTTCATATGTATATACAGGTCATCTGTGTAATACATACACACACAACACATTGTTGTTATTGAGTATCTGACAGGTTGTTGTGTTCCTACCAGTCATCTGTGTAAATAGTGTAATAAACACACACACACACACAAACCCACACACACTCATGCAAATCACCATATGGTTTTAGGGTATCTACAAGTCGTAGTGTTCATATAATTTGGGTAATCTGTGTAATACATACACACACACAACACATTGCGGTAAGAGGGTATCTTACAACAAGTTGTTGTGTTCATACGTTTACAGGTCATCTGTGTAATACACACACACACAACACCTTAGGGTTTTAGGGTATCTACAAGTCGTAGTGTTCATATAACATGGGTCATCTGTGTAATACATACACACACACAACACATTGTGGTTGTGGTTGTAGAGTATCTTGCAAGTTGTTGTGTTTGTATAGGTCATCTGTGTAACAAACACATACAACACCTAATGGTTATAGGGTATCTACAAGTTTTTTTGTTTTTTATAGCAGAGGGTTTTACGGCGCTCGCAACTGCATAAGGTCATATGAGCGCCAAGGGGTGGGTGTCAACAGAGAAGTCTTTACAGGGAATCAGACTTTGACTGCTCACCTCTCTAGCTTCAACAGCACAAGGTCTACTTCGACTATCAAGGCACCCCAAAATAGCAGGTCACAAGGGAGTGACAAACATACAAAAGAAGTAGAGGAAAATGACAATAGTAAGGATCAGGAAAGAAAAAGCAGCAGTTCCCTGTTGTAGATCAGGCACAGTCATGAGGTGACATGAGTCAGCCCATTTACAATTCTACTATGCTTGAACGAGATATGTCCCCTCTTTGGGAAAGGCCTAAAGACACTTCAGTCAGTGGCACTGCCCCGGGGGGTATCTACAAGTTGTTGTCTTCATACGGCTCATTTGTGTAATACATACGCACAACACCTTATGGTTGTGTTCATACAGGTCATATGTGTATCCCTCACCTTTTAGTTTAGTTTTAGTAGAGGTTTTACGGTGCTCCCAACTGCATAAGGTCATATGAGCGCCAGAAGATTAGAGGTGTTACAAGAGAGCAACAAACATAAAAAAGAAGAAGGAGGGGAGATAAGGACGACAGATGTTTCATACGCAAGAAGAAGCAAAAAACACCAGAGCACCCGCCAACCACCGACTCCCTCACCTTTGATGTTGTAGAGGCCCCTGAACTTGGTCCAGTTGGAGTAGGTGTGAGGGTCCATTTGTGAGTCCAGGTCCGAGTAGTCCGAGCTGGGCGGGGGTCCCGGCCAGTCTTCCTCCGGTTTGTACCAGTCGTTGTACAGGCCGGGGTAACCTACGATCAGTTTGAAGTCGCCCACTCTGAAACCAGAGACACACTCAGTCATAATCCAGACAGTAACTTTATAATATATACCCACACACACATTTCCGCGTCACAATGGACTTAACTCACCTATTATCCAAAAACTGACCTGCTCCACACACATTTCTGTGTTTCAACACACTTAAACTCACCCATAATCCAAACACTAACCGTTTCCATATTTCTGCTTTAGATAGTAAGTGTTTTACGGCACTTGCAACACAATAAGGTCATATAAGTGCAAGAAAGTAACAAATACAAAAAAGAAAAAGCAGAGATAAGGACGATAGACGTTTGATAGGAAAGAAGAAGCAAACCACACAAGAGCACCCGTCAACCACCCACACTTATTTCTATGTCCCAACTCAACTCATTCTTAACCCTAACACTAACTAATTTCACACACACACACATTTTTGTGTCACAACCCATTCACAACAATCCAAACACTAACCTATTCACTCACTCACACATGTCTATGTTACAATACACTCACTCATAACCCAAACACTAACCTATTCAACATTGCCCTGATACGGCATGACTCACAATATGACTCTGATACACTTTTTGTTTTTAGTTTTAGTAAGTGTTTTACGGCACTTGCAACACCACAATAAGTAAGGTCATATAAGTGCCGAAGATTAGAGGTGTTACAAGAGAGTAACAAACACAAAATAGACGAAGGAGAGATAAGGACGATAGATGTTTGGACAGGAAAGAAAAAGCAAGCCACACCACAGCACCCACCGACCACACTTTTTGTGACTCATGATATGACCATCATACGGTGCGGTGACTATGATAGATCTACACTTTTTGTGACCCATGTTATGACCTTTATACGGTGTGGTGACTCACACCATAACTCTGATACTTTTTACGACTCGTGATATGACCATTGTATGGCATGACTTTCAATATGACTATTATACACTTTTTATGACTCATGATTTGACCATTATACGGCATGGTGACTCACAATATAACTTTGATACAATTTTTGTGACTCATGATATGACTATTATACGGTGTGGTGACTCATAATATGACTATTATACTACAGCGTGACTCACCTGATGGCTGCGTGTCCCTGGTTGGGAGTGGTGTAGTTGTCCAGGTTATAGACAAACTCGGAGCGTCTGGAGGCGGACAGTGACGTGATGGACTGCCACTGGCTGATCCCGTCTCTGTGCGGGTCTGGGCGACCACAGGCAAGGACATTGAGTTTTAGTTGTAGTGAGCGTTTTACAGTACTTGCAACACAATTAGGTCATATAAGTACTAAAGATTAGAGCAGGCGTTACTAGAAAGTAACAGACACACAAAAAAAAAAAAAAGAAGAAGAGAAAAGAACGATATGTGTTTGATAGGAAATAAGGAGCAAACTACATCAGAACACCTGTCAACCACCCAAGGGAATGTTGGAGCAATTCATTACAGTAGAAATTATAAATATGACCACGGTATGAGACAAAGAAATGGTTGTACGATTTATCACCTGTAAAATGATAAATGTGATACTATTTGGATGTGGCCACTTGCAGAGTAGAAAAGGGATGTGACAAGTAAAATCACCCGGATACTGCTATAGATAATAATACATGTAATAATAAATGACATTTATATAGCACTCTACCCCGATTAAAGTACACAGGCTCTGAGCGTTTTACAATACAGTACAACGTACAACAGTAACATAAAACGTTGTGTTCTGACAAAAAGAAAATAGAAAATTACTCCAAATATACATCTTATTAATTTAAAAACAGAAACGACTTCAGCTGACATTTGAATGAATCAAAAGATTCATTAACAGAGCCACAAACGGCTCATACACACAGAGAGACACACACACACATGTAAACATTCCCAATGAGGCCACACATACACTCAAACTAACATATCTTCGACACCCCCCCCCCCCCCCCCATCCAAAAGATACAACAATCCTCACCAGAGTAATTTATTCCCGCTGCCTCCAGAATCGTGGGGAACCAGTCGACCGCATGCATCAGTCTGAAACACACACAAGATGCAGAACTCTCATATTGTCATCATTATCAACATAAATATCTTTTACAACATCAAAATCATCATCATTATTTACAACACAATTATCAATATATCATCATCATTATCAACACAAATCAATATTGTCTTCATTAATCTATTGATAACATCATTATCAATGTCATCACACTGATTATTATCAGTGTCATGATCATCCTTTCTCTCATGATGTATCTAGATTTAGAACAGTTCACTCGTGATACATTATAACCCTCCCATGGGGTAGATATCTCTCTAATGACATTTCAAATAAATGGCACAGCTTTTCCATTTATCTCTTATATATGGCTAAATATAGAATGGCTTACCAATCATATCTCCCACGATGTATCTAAATACAGAACAGCTCACCTGTCATACCACCCACAATGTTTCCATATATAGAACAGCTTACCCATCATATCTCCCACAATGTTTCTACATATAGAACAGCTTACCCATCATATCTCACTCCAGTCTTCTGTAGAGGTTTCCCGTGCACAAAAGCAGGCACGCGGGTGCCACCCTCCCAGATGGTGATTTTGCCTCCCCTCAGGGGGTAGTTGTTCCCGTGGTACGGTACCCAGCCACCATTCTGTGGAGATGACCATATGAGATATCAACATGGTACCAACAAAAGTAACCAGTGTCATAATATAGTATATACATAGTACAGAACCCACTCACCATTCTGTGGAGATGACCGCACAAGACATGGAAATAAATAAAAGGAAAGGAAACCAGTGTGATGAAAAGTACAAGATAAGATACATCTTTATTGCCCAGATCCTGGCACATTGCTTTGGCGTTTCACCACACACACACATCATTCAGTAGAAATCCCCGCATGAAACATCAATGTTGTTGTTGTTGTTATCAATCCAACAACAGCTGGGCTCTTGCCCTTTTGTCCAAGTCCAAGGCATGAAACATAAATGTATGTGTATGGGTTTAATACTTATTAGGTCATTCAAGAGGAGGGACCTCTGAATTTAACATCTGTCTCCAATAGGATCAAGCCTTAAAAACTCCACAAAACGACCCAAGCTCAAGAACACCCAGCCAGGGATTTGAACCAGGGTCATCCACTCTGTAGCTCAGTATGATACAGCTGAGTTAACAGAGTATTATTATTTACTTATTTAGTAGAGGTTTTACGGCACTCGCAACTGCATAAGGTCATATGAGCGCCAAGGGGAGGATGTCAACAGAGAAGTTCTTACAGGGAATCAGACTTAGATCTACTCTGCTCACCTCTCTAGCTTCAACAGCACAAACTCTGTTTCGACTTTCAAGGCTCCCAGAAATAGCAATTCACAAGAGTGTGACAAACATGCAAAAGAAGTAGAGGAAAAATGACGATAGTAAGGATAAGGAAAGAAAAAGCAGCAGTTCCCTGTTGTAGATCAGGCACAGTTAAGAGCGTGACATTGATGAATCAGCCCATTTACAATTCTACTGTGCATGAACGAGAAATGTCCCCCCTTTGGGAATGGCTAAAAGACACTTCAGTCAGTGCCACCGCCCCGGTGGGGGGTGGGGGGGGGGGGGGGTGGAGAGTTAACAGAGTGCCCTGAAACAACAATACAACCATAAATAACCAGTTACAAATGGTATGATACCCAGCCACTGCTCTGTACAGATGACTGCACAAGATAAGACAATCTGTCTCCCCCCCCCCCCTCCAATTTCTCTCAACCCAATATGGTCATTTAGTTGTTTTTAGTCTAAGTCAGATTTTCAAGGCACTTGCAACACCAATACATCATATAATGCCAAAGATTAGAGGTGTTACTAGAAAGAATAATGTAAAGAAAAGAAGGAAGAGAGAGAAGGACGGCAGATGTTTGATAGGAAAGAAGGGGTAAATCACACCAGAGCTCCCACCAACCACCAACTCAAAACAATGACTCACATCGGCGGTGAAGAAGAAGATGGTGTCATCAAACATGTCCCTGTCTTTGAGCACCTTGACCAATCACTGCCCACCCAATAACTTACACACCAATGACAGTCTCTAGCCACCTCATCAATTAGTCATACACCACAGAAAACCTCCAGCTTGCCCCCCCCCCCTCCCTCAACAGAAACAGAAAAAAACAACAAAACAACCCCAAACAAATAAATAAATGTGAAGCGTGCTGACAAAATGAGTTACTTCTCCAATTCGAGCCCTTTGGAAATAGACACATCCTTCTTATTGGTGAAGTTTTTACAACTTATAAGAATGAAATAATAAAGGGCATGTTATCCTTTAAGAATATGGCATCTACAGAAAATCTATAAATTTGACCCTAGTATTGATTTTTGGCCAATCTCCATATGTGGATTGCGAGGAGTAACTCATTTTGTCGAACGTCTCACAAATAAATAAATAAATAAATGAATGAAAGAATAAATGAATGAAAGAATAAATGAATGAATGAATGAATAAATGACTCACATCGGCGGTGAAGAAGAAAATGGTGTCATCAAACATATCCCTGTCTTTGAGCACCTTGACCAGTCGGCCCACCACATCGTCCGCGGCCGTCACCATGCCTGTCCGTGAGAAAGGGAAATGATTCATTGGGTGGGTGGGGGAGGGCGCAAAGTATGACGCTAAACTATTGCATATTTAGGGATTAGGATTAGTGAAGAATAAAGCAAAGACTATGAAGAGAACAAAATATATAGGCATAGGAGAAAAAACATCGTGAGAGATATGACGGGTGAGTTTGTTCATGAGTTTTCTCTGCTGTATAGATAGGGGCCTACATCATGACAGATATGAAAAGTGAGCTTTTCTATATTTAGATACACTGTGCAATCTATGGCAGGTGAGTTATTCTATACTTAGATACACAGTAAGAGATATAGAAAATAAGCATTTCAATATTTAGATACATCATGAGAGATACGACAGGTGAGTTATTCTATATAAATTTAGATACATCCTGAGACCCATGGTAGGTGAGTTGTTTTATACTGGGATACATTGTAAGAGAAAGACCTATATCGAAGATGAGCTGTTCTATATTTAGATACAGCGTAAAAGACATGATAAGTGAGCTATTTTATATTTAGATACTCTACGACTACGAGACCTATGGTAGATGAGTTGTTCTATACTACTAGGATACATTGTGATGGTTAGAGATATTATGGAAGATGAGCTGTTCTATATTTAGATACACTGTGAGTATATATGACGGGTGAGCTGTTCTATATGCAGACACACAGTGAGAGATATGACGGGTAAGCTATTCTATATTTACATACATCGTGAGAGATATATATGACAGGTGAGTCCAGAGATGAAAATGCAGACTTCTTTCTTTAGTTTGTGATACTAAATGTCTCTGCACTTAACCTTGTTCCATATTCTGATGAAATGATCATGATAGAATCTACTTTGTCCTTCAACTCTTTAGCTTTTAGCTTTAATAAAAGTTTTACAGCACTTGCTACACAAATAGGTCACATAAGTGCTGAAGAATAGAAGTGTGGCAAGAGAGAGTATCATACGAAGAAAAGAAGGAGGAGAGATAAGAACGATGGATATTCGATAAGAAAGAAGGAACAAACTATACCAGAGCGCCTGCCAACCACCCACCCTCAATACGGTACCAAGTCTGCCAGAACTTCTAAGTTTGTGCAGGAAGGGGCATAAAAAAAAAAAAAACTGTTCTTAAAAACAGCAGGAAACTGACAGAGAGGAAGGCCAGACAAGATTTGTGTTACCTGAAAATATCCGTCTTCCATCGTTGGTGATGTTTGGGTACATGTTGTAGTAATGTAAGGGAACCTGCAGGGAGACAAAGACAAACTGTCTCAACATTGGGGAGGGATTTCAGTTTTTAGTTTTAGTTAGAGATCTATGGCACTTACAACACAAATCGTACTTATAAATGCAAAAGCATAAATAGAGGTGTTACTACAGAGTAATATACTACAAAGAAAAGAAGGAGAAGAGATAAGGACTATAGATGAAGTTGGATAGGAAAGAAATAGCAAACCACACAAGGGCACCAGCAAAGCACCCACACGATTTTTTTTTTGGTTTTTTTTTTGGGGGGGGGACAATGGAATGTCCTGCTATATCCACACACACACACACACACATACACACACACACACAATACCGCTACGTACCTCCAGTGGTTCATGCACTGACTGTATGGGAAAGTACAAGAAGAGGGGTGCAGTCGGATCATGTTGTCTCACCACATTCTCCACAGCATCGCCGTACTGGTACTGTCAGAGAGAGAACAAATAAAGATAGACGGAAAATTCCCCAGCCCCCTACACCCAAAATCCAGTCTGGATTGTAGGCCTACCAAGTTCAAAAACACAAAAATAAATACTGGTGATTTTGGTTTTTTAAGAGAATGGTTCGTACACACCCATTTGAAAACTTCAAGCTTAAAAACAAACAAGAAAAACTATTTTTAAAAAAGAAGAAAAAAAGGAAAGCAAACAAAATAAAAAAATAAAAAATTCCAAGCAATCCAATCAGCAGCTTCATTAAGTCTAGACATTTGCCAACATCTTGCGGGGACTTACCTGACCCTGTGGTTTTATGCACCCCGCATAATTTAGCAAATTTTTGGGCATAATTTCTGATTATTTTCCTTCATCATTCTATGTTAAAATTAACAGAATCGCATAATTTCACATTTTTGGGCTCAGTTTGCATAATTTCAGAATTTTTCTAGCATAAAACGATGGGGACAGACTTACAGCAGAATAGTTCCCTACAGCATCCCAGTTGATCTTTTCGTTGATGTGGAAATCAAAGCCTTGTGCTGGAAACAAAGTGGTAAAAAGAAACCCTCTTTAGTCAATAGAAAAGAGAAAGATCATGAACATTAGTAGGCCTACAATCATGATTGGCGAAATAAAATAAAAATGCACACTAACACAATCATGTTTGTACTCATAGAGAAAGGTGTGCACTAAAACAATCATGATTGTAGAGACAGAAAGAAAGATAGATCGACACAATCATGATTATAAAAACAGGAAGAAAGGTAGATCAACACAATCATGATTGTAGAAATAAAAAGAAAGATAGATCAACACAAATATGATGGTAGAAATAGACAGATGTAGTATGTTAACACATTCATGACTGAAGAAATAGACTGATAAGATAACATTATATTCATGATTATAATAGAATCAGAGAAGATAGGCCTACATACAACACAATCATGATTGCAGAAATAGAAAGGTAAATTAGAACAATCATGTTTGTAGAAATAAAAAGAAGATCAACATCATAACTAACTGTAAAAATAGACGGGCACATCAACACAGCCATCATTGCAAAAACAAAAAAATAGAATAATAGTTATTCTTTCACAAAGATCAAGATTGTACAGAAAAGAGAAGAGACAAAGACTACCAATACCAGAGTACTCTATTTCCGTCTACTCACAAGGAAAGGAAGAACATCTCTCAAACACAGAACATATCATTTGCAAGAGCATATCTCACACAAAGTACAAAAAAACTGCATGCAACCAGTTTCCTCCATATTACAAAAGTAAAGTATATATTATATATATAAATTAGAGGGATTATATATATAAATTAGAGGGCATGGGGCCTCGGAAAAAGGGATGGAAGAGTGGATTTTTAAATTGACCAACCTCGACAATTAAAAAAAAGAGAAAGATTTTTGCTCTACTCTAAACAACAAAAAGCTTACCAAAGAATTTCCCATAACAACAGACGACATGGATTCCATTATAAGATATTCGGTACAAAATTTTCTGGGCACAAGTAGGCCTACCAGACTCACCCTGAACTTTGATGTAGTAATCTTCAGCACTGTTGTAGTAGCCGTAGTATGTGTCGAAACCTCGGTAGGTGGGCGTGCATTCCCAGCGACAGAACCCAAGATGCCATCTGGTGGGGGAGACCACGACAAAAATAACGTCAGACTCATTAATCAGTTTAATCAGACTTTCGATTTATCAGCAAGATTTTTCAGGAAGAAAGGAAAACAAATTTTTACCTCACTTCAACGTTTTGCGTTTTAGCATTTTTGGATTGCATAAATGCTCATTCTATTATTATCACTAAAAGATTTGTGATCTTCAAGCAGTGGTGGTGGAGAATCCTCGTCTGAGGTGACTAGAGAAAAAAATGAAACTCGAAAACCTCTGGACAAATGATTAAGTCACTTAAGTTAGAGAACTACAAGAATGATAACCTACTTTCCCACTATGTGTGTGGCGTAGCCGTTCTTCTTGAGGACTTGGGGCAAGAACGTCTTGTCCAGGGGAGCACACACAGGGGCTTCGTTGTTGATCACCATATGCTGCCACAGTAGAAGTGTGGGGGGGGGAGGATAAGGTGGAGAAAACTTAGGATTCAGAAGAGTAAAAATCAGGCGAAGAAAACAAGAGAAAGAGGAAACAAAAACACAGAGGATAATGAGGATTTGTAGAAAAAAAAACAGAGGATAAGGAGGAGAAAACCTAAAAGATTTTGAGGAAAAACCCCCCCACATGACTAGGAGTAAAAAACAAAAGATTTGGGGCCCCCAAAAAAACCCATAGACTATTAAGAGTAAAAAGACCCCCCCATTGATTGATTGATTGAGTAGATGTTTTACGGCACTATCGACACAATTTTGTTCATTTAAGCGCCAATAAAGACCCCCCCCCAAAAAATGGGGGAAAAAAGAGGGTTTCGAGGAAAAAAACATTAAAATTTGGAACAAAAAACATGAAGGATTTGTGGCAACAGAAAAAACCCCAACAGACTTGAAGGAAAAAAACATTGAGGATTGGAAAGAAAAAATAAAAGGAACAGCTAGAGACCCAGATCGCTCAGACAGCAGAAAATCAAGGCAGAATATGCTAATTCCATTTTGAACGTTGAGCGCAAATAAATTCTGATTGTTCAAATATTATTGCCAAGAACCAGAAATCAAACAATGCACTTTGGCATGAAAGACAAACATTTCCCCTTTTGTCAAACGAACACCCCTCCCCCCTACCATCCCATCCCAAGAAGATGAGAGTGGTTAAACTAATTTACAAAGAACCTAGAACACAACTTACTTGAAGAATTTAACACAACATACCTGCAACCCCAGCCTGAATGGATAGTAGCTGGTCATAAATGCACTCCGTGACCTATAACAGTGAGTAGAGAAAAACTGTGTTATAGGACATGGCAATGAATGACTACCACTTTAATAATAAGATCCTCTTGTACTTAACAACATAATGTACATGATATTGTCAGCCAAGTGCTCAGATGTAGATCTACTTTGCCATATATATTCTGAACTTTCTAATTTCTTGCAGTTTCTTAATCTGTGATAAAAGTTACAGGCGCTCAAAAAAATATTTGGTTAAAATTCAAATTCCAAATGTTTAAAAACACAAGAAAAGACACATTAATGTACCGTAGACGTAGTTGTGAAAAGAATAAAACAGTTTTTTCCCCTCTCCTGTAAAATTTTGCCTTCTGGGCATAGTACATTTGAACAGTTTGCAGACAAGATATATGTTGCAGGCACTTACGGTGAGCAGAGGGGCTGCACGTAGGCATGGTTGAGGATGACGCCATCATGAGCCAGGCTGTCGATGTTTGGGGATATGATGTCCGGGTTGTTGAAGCCCACGTCATTCCAGCCTGGGAGAGATAAAAATGCTTTAAAATCTTTAAAATCAACCCATCAAAATGACCACAGATAATGATTTTAAAGACAAAACAACAGAAATTGACCCCCCCCCCCCCCCCCAAAACAAAAAAAAAAAAAGAGGAAGAGAAAAAAAAAAAAAAAAAAAAAAAATTAAAAAAAAAAAAAAAAAAAACACCCCCCCCCCCCCCCCCAACAGAACAGAATAATGCAAGGAGGGAGTGAAAATATCAGTGACAAATAATCTAGACTAGAGAAGGAACTTTGTAGGTAAATTTAAATTTACATCTAGATGCAAGAATTTAGATATTGCGGGACAAACTATTTAACCAGCTAGGCTGACAGTCTCGTGCCAACAACAAATATAATCAGCTATCCACAGTGATTGTCATTTTGTGCATGTGTTCTTTTGTCAGTCAAATTTGGTACATGTGTATTTGACATTGAATGGACGGTGTGCATGAAAGGTGTCATTGTGAATGATTCTGTCAGCTGTTAAAATGTTATCTTATAATCGTGAACCACCTAGAGTGACCAGAAATTGGATGCTGCAGACGTGATCTTCATTATTATATCTACTAACTGAAAACCACTTCACAACTGACCCATCCAGCAGAGCATGTGCAACGCTTGCCAAATAAACACCTGTCAGTCGTGTTAGGGGTGGAGAGCCATATAGTTTTCGGGGGCGAAGAGGGGAGGGCTATACGGGTTACCACTAAAAGAGCTTTCTCAGGCTCAAAAAAGTGGTGTGCACAGTCCATGTCAGGAGAAACTTTGATGCATTTCTCAGAGATAAGGTGGGGATGCTTCAAAGGCATCGACCAGAGCTCAGGAATCAGGTTTTTGGACCAGGTGACGTGGTGGCCAGGCAGACAGATCCTTCCGTCCTAGTATGTCCTACAATTGCTCAGCAGTCAGCAGGACAACGCCCAGAGCATAGTTGAGGCGAAGTTCCGTGAGCTGCAGAGGTCAGTTGGCCTTGGACACTACCAGACTGCTACGTGACTACCAGAGGTTTCTCATGGCTTCCAAGGTTTTCTTTAAGAAAACGCAGAACCAGCGCGATGCCCTTTTCAGGCATTTCATGGTGAAAGCAAAATTAAAATTAGAGGCCCTCACTGCTCCAGTACGTCCACCAGTGGAAACACCAAATGAGACAGCCAGCCCATCGGGGCAAAAAACCTGGTGAATGGCGAAGACTGATGGCTGATCGAACAACTTGAACTTAGAAACATGTTTGGTGGCCAATAGAAACATGTTTGGCGGAATATCGAAACGTGTTGCGGTGAACATGCGCAAATAAACACACAAGAGATTTATGTCACAAGTGTCTTTTCGTGTTTTAGAACATGTCATTTCAAGTCTTATTCTTATGTGTCTTATCGTGGAAAAGAGTGACCCTATTACAGTACTTTTTTTTATTATGATTAAAACACAAAAAGACAGAGATTCTGTAATAAAACGTAATGTAAAGGATCGACCACTAGGTAGGTAAGTTTAATGGTTAAGACTACGGTGGGACAGGGGTTGGGGTAGGGGCACGGGTAAGGTAAGGGTTAGGGTCAGAGGGTTTCCACCTTTATTGTGCTTTTGGGGTGGTCTCTCGTTGCGAAAGTCAGCTCCTGCATTCACACAGAAGCTAACAAATTACGAGTGAATATATATAGATTCTAGATCTAGATCTAGATCTAGAATCTAGATCTATTATATCATGCATTTTCTTCTTTTTCAAACAAATTTATACCTAGATCATCGACAACCATGAAAACAACGTGTGGTGGTTTGCCGTTTACTTCAGTCAGAAGAATGAGAAAAGGGAAAATAACAAACAACCACGACATTGTGTGTTTCTTTCCTGCCTCCCGCCGTCAGCAAAGTTAGACTTGAAGCCTGTGGGTGGCCTGCTGTTGTTGTCAATTGAGCGGGCGTAACATTTGCATGTCATGTGACTTCCCGTACGCCTTATCACGTGATCAAAGAGTCGTCTATAGCGACGAAAGCCTTCGATCTTTTCTTTTTTAGAGAACGCACGTAATATGTAATAACCTGAGATTTGAGAGATGGGGTTAGTGATGTTATTTGAAAAATAACCAAGGGAAGCAAGTGTTATAATGAAAAGTTGACTTTTTCTTTGATCGAGTAATGTTTCTTTGTCCTTTTGGAGGGTGAATTTCCTGATTACTATCAACAAACATCGGGAAACTCTGGTCATGTCTGGTGTCAGAATCCTTAATTATTCTTCAAAGAGCCCTTAATGAATTTTATTGACTACACCTACACGACAAGCTGTCTTGACACATAAAATAAACATAAGGTATCGTAATATTATTTGCATAACGTTATTTATATGGAGGGTGGTATTCCATAGACCACTTTCCAATAGGACACCCATTCGGCGTCTCATATTCCGCTTGAAACTTATGACGAATCGTTTTTCGTTCTCCTGTTTCCTTCACTTTGTGTTGAATGCCTAGGCCTACCTTTGATAACCCATTTCATTCATCCAAATTATATTATGTAGCTTAAAAATTAATCAGAGGGTGTGGGTTGGAAAATCCTCTCCTCCCCTCCCCCAAATCGGCCAAACCATACACTATTACGTGAGTTCTCTAAAAGTAAAAGACGGCTTTCGTCGCTATAGACGACGACTATTTGATCACGTGATAAGGCGTACGGAACGGAAAGTCACATGACATGTAAATGTTACACCCGCTTAACTAATCAAGAGAGTCTTCTTACAGTTATCTTTCTCTCTCTGAACTTAATCAACTAACTGTTGACTACAGGTCTAACTTTGCTTGGCGGCGGGAAGGAGGAAAGAAACACGCAATGTCGTGGTTGTTTGTTATTTTCCCTTTTCTCATTCTTCTGACTGAAACAAACAGCAAACCACCACACATTGTTTTCATGGTTGTCGATGATCTTGGTAAAAATTTGTTTGAAAAAGAAGAGAATAATCTTAATCATCACACTTTTTTTGGTTAGCTTAGTATCTAGTCTTCTCTCGGTCTTTAATTAAATTGATCATACTAAAGTCATAATATTGGTATTATTAGGCGTATAGCCTATTGCCTGCCAACAATGACTGTAACCTACAGTCGGTGAAAACCCGGTATACATCCAAGAACCCCCAATTTTGCCTATTTAAAATGTTTTCTCTATAGTCTATAGGCCTATGTTTTGTATGCCGAAGAACCTGCTGAAATACAGAATTATACTTAACAACTTGTTTGAGTTTAGAGAGGTCAGAAAACTTTCCTGCGTTTCTTCACATGATTTATGTGGGTAAAAAGGGAGAGACTTTCGCATGGACTAGTAACCTATAGTGTGGTCAAAAATTTGTGGCGAAACTTATCCTCAAATATCTCATTAACGGATGAATCACTGTCTCTCGTACTTTGCACAGCAGTTTGTACATTATCAATTTGTCTTAACTTAATCATATTTTTCCGCAACAATTTAGGCTATATTTAAACATTTTTCTTCATAAATTTATATAAAATACTATAAATCTCCATAATGCGGAAAATGGGATTGTTCACAGGACTTCTCGCTTCTCACACACATTTTGCACCTGCATATGGCCTATGTCACAGCTCACCAATGACTCCTTTTAGTGGCAAAACTTGTTGTACAAGAAATAAGTTTTCTCTAGTGAACACATTTTTGCACTAAAAGTGATAATTCCATTCGTTCAATAAGGTTAATGTCGCGATTAGAAAAAAAAGACGGATTACTTTTAAAAGTGATATATTATATTGCCGAAGCTGTAAAATTTTAAAAATAGGCCCATATAGAAACTATCGGCTGGTGTTTTTTATGAGTATTTACTAAGGAATTTTCTAGAATACAGTAGGCGTTTGAAAAAAAATATTCATCAATACAGACTAATTGATTTAAGTCATTGTGCTAAAGTTGGAGAATCTATGTTCAATAGTTGAACTATTAGTTAAGGAGATATTTGACAAAAAGTTGCGCCACAATTCTTTGACCGCACTATAGTGGTCAAGGAAATGTTCACACTACATGCACACTTATACAGAATGTTTCTTTGACAGGCACCAGCATAACTCTGCTTGATGGGTCAGTTGTGAAATGATTTCCAGTCTTATAATCAAGATCACTTCTGCAGCGCCCACTTCCTGGTGGCTTCAGGTGCTTCACAAGAAACTCTAAGATTTTAACAGCTAATTACACACTGGCATGATGTATTTATGCATATTCCAGCCCAATTCATTGTGCAACAACTCTTTCAATTAAAATATCTGTACAGGCCCATAATATACCAAATTTCAATAAGAGAACACACATATATATATATATATATATATATATATATATATATATATATATATATATATATATATTATTATATTATATATATAATATATATAATAACGCAAAATGAATGAGAGTCAATGTGGATGCTGATCACACTTGGGGTAGCCTATATATTTTTGTGTTACGCGTATTACTGTTCGGTTTCTATTGTTCGATCTTAAGAATTACTATCTCTTGTGCTTTTTATAAATGAGTAGATTAAACATTTAAAAAACGCGTTTATCTTTTTCAGGCTGGAATGACGTTGGCTTCAACAACCCGGACATCATATCCCCAAACATCGACAGCCTGGCCCATGATGGCGTCATCCTCAACCACGCCTATGTGCAGCCCCTCTGCTCACCGTAAGTGTAGCGTATTATGTTGTCGGAGAGCTGTTTAAATGTGCTAGCCTATGCCCAGGAGGCAAAATTTTTCAGGAGAGAGAAAAAACCTTTAATTTTTCTAGCTATAGCATTTACATTATATGCCCCTTTTCTTGTTTTTTTTCAAAATTAACAATTTGAATTTCGACAAAATATTTTTGAGCACATGCAATTAACCTGTACACTACAGTAGTAGATTTAGAAACTGCAATTAAAGAAAAATCTAAAGATTTTGGGCTATCTGAACTGGACAGCTGGCCAACGATATATATATTTTACGTATAATAAATGTAAAAATGTTGGAATGTACAAAAGGATGCTATTGTAAAAGTGGTAGTCATTTATTGTATTTCATATGTATCATAGTGTAAAACTTCCACCAAAGACTTAAAAATGGATGGTTCGCTTTGTGAAATTAAAAACTACTTGGAAGTCTAAGATCATTTCATTGAAGACGAAATAAAAAATATATAATTGCAATATTTTCAAATTTTGGCTGTATTGACGTATGGTTCAGAATGAAAAACAGACAAAACAATTCAAAGAAAATTAAAAAGCTTCCAAACAAAATGTCTACGAAGAATTTTACTAATAAAATAGAATGAATTTATTTCAAATAATGAAGTGTTGAAAAGAGCTGGAATTGAAGATATCAACACAACAATAAAAAAGAGAAGATGGAGATATCTTGGACATGTTCTGAGAATGCCAAAGACGAGATTGCCTTATCAGACGTGGCATTGGAAACCAAATGGAAAGAGGAAGTGGGGAAGACCAACAAGAAACTATAGAGGCACAATAAGAGATGAGGCAATTACCCTGGGCCTAGATGTGCCGAAATTGGAGAAAGTATCTCGGGACAGACTAGCGTGGCGTCAACTGCTCTCCACCTTATGTACCTGACAGTATAGGAAGAGAGTAAGTCAGTATAATGTATAAAAGTTGGAATGTGCAAAATGATCCTATTGTAAAAGTGGTTGTCATATTGTATTTTATACATAATTATGTACAAATGTTGGAAGGTACAAAGGATTTTATTAGAATAGTGATAGTCATTTATTGCCATGTCCTTTAATACACAGTTTTTCTCTACTCACTGTTATAGGTCACGGAGTGCATTTATGACCAGCTATTATCCATTCAGGCTGGGGTTGCAGGTATGTTGTGCTAGATTTTTCTAGTAATTTGTGTTCTAGATTCTTCAAGTAAGTTACTTGTGCTAGTTTCTTCATGAATCTGATAGCCGCTGTCATCTTCTTGAGAAGTGTGGGTGGAGGGGGGGAGTGGATGTTCCTTTGACGAGAGGGGAGATGTTTGCCTCTCATGTCGAAGAACAGTTTTCGATTCCAGGTTTTTAGCAATAGTGTTTTGAGCAATTTGAATTAATGTGCTGTTCTACATATTTATTATGGTTTACAGAGTGTATGCTGTGCCTCTAAATCTAAGATGTTTATCACAATTGTCTTTTTCAAAATTATAATTATTATCGTTTCTTGATTTTCTGAAGTCTGAGCTATCTAAATCTCTAGTCCCTTTATGTTCCCCCAAAATCCTCTGTGTTTTTTTTTCCATTACCCCCTCAAAATACTCTATGTGATTTCTCCTCCAAATCCTCTGTTTTTTTCTTCAAATCTCCATCTTTTCCTCTCCCCAGCTTTTATGTTTCTCCTCCTTTTCTCTGTTTTCTCCTCCTAATCCTCTACCTCTTCCCCTTCTATCATGGCAGCATATGGTGATCAACAACGCAGCCGCTGTGTGTGCTCCCATGGACAAGACGTTCTTGCCCCAAGTCCTCAAGAAGAACGGCTACGCCACACACATAGTGGGAAAGTAGGTTATTATTTTGTAGCTCTCTAAGTTACACATTTAGTGGGAATTTTTCAAGTTCTATTTTCTCCTTAATCACCTGAGATGAGGATTTTCGACATCCGCGGGAAGAAAACAAATTTTTTAGTGGGAATAGAATTAGAATTTATGCAATCCAAATGCTAAAATGCAAGACGTTGAAGTGAAGTAAAAAATTGTTTTCCTGAAAAATCCTGCTGATAAATCGAAAGTCTGATTAAACTGATTCATGAGTCTGACATTGTTGTATCGTGGTCTCCCCCATCAGATGGCACCTTGGGTTCTGTCGCTGGGAGTGCACGCCCACCTACCGAGGTTTTGACACGTACTACGGCTACTACAACAGTGGAGAGGATTACTACATCAAAGTTCAGGGTGAGTCGGCCACTTATGATCCGAAAACTGTCTTTAAAAAACCCAATAGTTTTGTAGTGTCTTATAATGGAATCCGTTTAACATTTTATGGGACATTCTTTGGGAAGTTTTTTGTTGTTGAGTGTGTATTGTTAAAGTTGTTGATTTATTTTTCGCTATGGGGTGAGTGGGGTAAATTCAAATTCACTTACATCCTTGTCCCACACGATACTCTTTTAAAATGGAGGGAAATTCTTGAACTGGTTGCAGTTTTGTATTTTATATTGTATTGTACAAGATATGTTTTATATATA